TGATTGGACATTTCCACCATATGTTCAACAACACATTGTACACTATCGCGATACTCCGCCACAGCCTTCTGGACGAGCGCCATCGAGAGATTCTGCCACGCGACCGTGATTCGGTGCCTGAGTTCAGCGAGGTCGTTGATTTCTCCGCCACTGTAGACTCTAGACCACCCTGCTAGGCTCCTCTCGGACCCGGTAATCAAGAGGGCTTAGGTCAGGTGACACTTGGATATGGCGTCTTCGTCAGGTGTTTAATGCCCTTGTATTCCAAGTATCACCTGTATCACCTGTGCTCCCGTTGATCATCGAGTTCCTCGAGGGCCAGTAACGTCTCCATTCGTCCCTGCAACGTGCAAGAGTTGCCCAATGAACTCTCTCAGCTCGAGGGACACGATGAACTTCATACGTTCAGAGCTTTCACGAAGAAGTCTGACCATCGCGTAGGCGGTCTTCCAGGCGTTCGCTTGACATCCCGTGGAATCCAGTCGGTGATTGCTCTGGTCCAGCGGTCGTCCTCGAAACGCATGACGTGTCCGGCCCACCTGATCTTCGAAACCTTGGCAAATGCGGCGGCGTCTCTGATCTTCGATCGTTGGCGGAGTGCGGAGCTCCGGATTCCCTCTCTCACTTGCGTGTAGCGGGAAACTCCGAGCATCGCCCTTTCGATGGCGCGTTGAATAACGCCGACCGCATGCTCATCCTGCTTTCGTAGAGTCCAAGTCTCTGAGGCGTACGTCAAGGCAGGAAGGACCGCGGAATCGAAGAGGTGGGCACGGAGCTTGGTGTTCTTCGTCTTCTTCGCTACTCCTCGATGTTCTTGAAGGCTCCCCAAGCCGCTCGCTTCCTCCTGCTCAGCTCTGGAGCTAGGTCATTCATCATATTGATTTCACGACCTAGGTACACATAGCTAGAGCATTCAGAGATGGTCGTTCCGTTGAGCGTGAATGGGGCATCAGATACCAATCCGTTTCTCATGAACATCGTCTTCGTTAGGTTCAGCCGTAGACCGATTCTTCCACACGCGCAGTCGAATTCAGCCAGCATTCGTTCCGCTTGCTCGATGTTTGGTGTTATCAAAACGATGTCGTCAGCAAAGCGGAGATGGTGTAGTTGCCGTCGATCTTCACTCCCATGTCTTCCCATTCCAGTTGACGCATGACGTTCTCGAGAGAGGCGCTGAAGAGCTTGGGCGAGATGGTGTCGCCCTGTCGGACCTCTCTTCACATCAATGATGATCTCCTTGTAGAATGGTGAAATCTTGGTCGTGAAGTTGCTGTAGAGCTCACGAAGAATCCTGATGTACTGAGTAGGAATACCCTGGTTGCCCAGGGCTTCGATAACCGCTTCTGTCTCAACGGAGTCGAAGGCTTTCTTCAAGTCGATGAACGTGAGACATAACGGCATCTTGTACTCTCGCGATACTTCAATGAGCTTCGTTACCGTGTGGATGTGATCGATCGTGCTGAATCCTCTTCGAAACCCTGCTTGCTCGCATGGCTGTCCTTCGTCTAGTGTTCTGCCAATCCTGTTCAGGATGACTCGTGTGAAGAGTTTGTAGACTACAGACAGCAGGCAGATTGGGCGATAATTGCCAATGTCGTACAGGTCTCCCTTCTTGTACAGCAACACAGTCTTGCTGGTTTTCCACGAGGTGGGTACCTTGCATTCCGACAGGTAGCGCGTGAAGAGTCGAGCCAGAGTTTTGACGAGAACTGGCGGAAGATTCTTCAGATGTTCGGGTCTGATCCTGTCGGGACCGGGTGCCGTACGATTCTTCACCGACGAGATGGCGTGTCGGACTTCGGAAGGGAGAACTGCAGGAACGACATATCCATCCTGCTCCAAGCGGTATGGTTGCAGGTGGACGTGGCTGTCAAAGAGATCCGAGTAGAAGTCGTGGATGACCTTCTCCATTGCCCTTCTGGATGCGGTGATTGTTCCATCCGGACGTCGGAGGGCGGTCATCTTGTCTTACAGTTGGCGAAGTCGCGGCGGGCGTTGCGTATGCTCTTCCCAGCCTCTGCGGCTTCCACCAGTACTGCTGCTCTTCTCTCCTTGAGGTCTTCCTTTATCGCTTCTCTGCATAGCTTCGCAAGCTCAGACGTCAGCTGGTAATTGCCTGCGGCTCGTGCGGCTCCACGTTGGCGAATCAGCTCGAGAGTTTCCAGAGATAGACGCTTCTTGGTAATCTTGGAACCCTCTGACTTCTTGGCGCAGTCGTGAAGATGTGCAACAAGCCTTTCGTATTCCTCGTCGATGTTGTCAATGACAGAATCCTCCCAGAGCCCAGCGAGAGAAGTGAAGTGATCCCAGTTGATGGTGGTCTTGGGGCTTCGCTTCTTGAACTTTGCGGCTCTCTCTCCTCGCATCGAAAAGCGGAATCTTGCGCGAAGGAGACGATGGTCGGATCCCGTGTAGAACTTAGGGACAACAGCGACATCGGTCAGGCAAAACCTTCGATTGCAGATGATGTGGTCGATCTCGTTATGGAATTGTCCACCAGGAGACTCCCATGTCCAGCGTAGAGAGTAGGGCTTCTGGAACTGCGAGTTACCATGGATGGTATGGGTCGACATGATAAACTCAGACAGCCTTTCACCCTGCTCATTCCACTCCGTTCCGTGAGTTCCGATGTGAAGTTCTTCAGCCGTTCTTCTTGGTCCGATCTTAGCGTTGAAATCACCGACGATGACCTTGAAGAAGGTATGATCTTCCTTGTAGAACTTCTCCAATTCCATATAGAACGCTTCGAGCTCATCCTCGTCGTAGCTTGATGTTGGTGCGTAGGCGACGAAGATTGTCAAAGCTGGAGTTGAACCACATCTTCTCAATCGCAAACGTCCGATTCGGGTCGTCAGATTTTCGTACGAATCGATGTTCATGGCCAAGTGCGTGTTGACGAGGACGCTCACACCGCCAACGCCTCTGCTGCCGCATTTTTGTTTTTATAATGTTTTATTATTTTGTTAGGCACATATTCTCCTCTCATTTTCGATATTATTTCTTCTTGGTAGGGTTTAATTATGTTGATAACATGAGTAAAAGTATTGTATAAGAGAGTCCAATTCGTTTTTGTTGAAGTTTATATTTTGATTTGAAATAATCAATAACCTTAGTGAATGTTTTACGTCAATTTTACCTTCTTGTTGTACCGGTATCCACTCCATATTTTGTTCCCTTGTCCAAGTCCTATTTCTATTTCTATTTATTGCATGCACGCTAGATACATTACATTAGATAGACATGTATGTAAAATCACAACCTTCAAAAAAAAGGAAACAAACACAGACTGACAATAGAGGCGGAACAAACAACTAGATAAAACTTGATATAACAACAAAAAAATGAAGAAAATAGGCTTAGGATTTCTGATCAGCCTCCAAGAAAACTATAATCAGGGATGGAGAAAGTGAAGCAGACCGTCTTCAAACGTAGAACTTGTGCAAGAGATGCTTAAGTCGGCCAATATTGGTTGGCATAGGGAACTTTTTAGTAAGCTTAGCAAACTCCCCGGATGCTCGCAATGAAAAGAAATTAGATCTAACACTTGTCCTCGCCTTGGGCAGACATAGTTTGGACTTAGCACCTCTGGTGTGAGAGGGGAGAAGAGTGAAAAGATCACGCCTATCAATCGAAACCTTGCCTGTAAGTATTTTTAACACCATCAACAAATCTAATTTTTTTTCGCCGCAAGTCCTTTCTTTCTTTAAACTGTTTCTTGCAGACCCTAGTCACTGCTTCCATCTTCTATCTCGCAAATGGTGTTGCTGCACTGTTCATTAGTGACCCCTGCGCAAGGGACCCCCGAAGTACATTCTATCCTCTTCGTGTATTTCAGCGTGCTTGAGCCTGACCAGTAGTAAGAGGAGGTGACACGGTCACCTGACCAGTAATATCAAGAGGTGACAGGGTCAAACACCCCAACAGGAAAATCACCACGTCGATACGATCCCCATGAAAAGTGGTGTGCATACGACATTTCCTTACGCGATTTCTTGACTCTTCGGTCGACGTAATCTCGCTTGTTTCACTGCGCATCACTTTCAGTGTTGGAGCGCGCCGCTCCACCGTACCCTACTCCACAAGAACCTTCTCGGAAGGCTGTAACTTCTTCAGAAGCAACATTTTGCGCGCTAAACACGAAATTTGTGATTTCTTAGGGGTTTACATCGGACAGCGTTCTAAAAAGAGGTCGCGGAAGCTGATGTCGCGACTTCGCCTCAAGAATAACAATGTAAACGTGAGCGGCTTTCAGGGAACTCAGTTTGGGCAATAGAGGAACAAGGACAAAACAATAATCGGAGAAGAGGACAGGACGACTTCTTCTTTCGGTAACACTAAAATCTTTTGGAAGGTCCATTTTCAGAAGACCGCCGGGAATGGGGATGAATATTTTATCGGTCACAAGGGAATTACCTTATGTGCGCAGCTGCCACCTTCCAGAGGGCGTTCACGTCATTCAAATATAACTTTTGGAGAAGGTTAAGGAAACATTGGACTTGACTGCGCTTCTCATTATGCATCGAAATTCTGCTGCTGCTCAATTACTTTTGGAAAATGTTGCTGCTGGAGAGAATAGTTTTTAGCTGTTATGGTATTTCTATATCGTTTTCCACAATTCCTCCCATAATCCACGGAATGCCTACAGAACACATCTCTTACCAGCGTCAGTTGATACTACGGTTCCTCCGAATTCGAGCCCCTCTTACTGTGAGCCAAAGAGACCCCCACCAAGGATGCTTGACCCTCAGAGGTATCGTGGCTGATTGATTGCTAACAAGGTCTTCCAAAGTCAGTAAAATGGTGAAGTTCAAATTCATCTAATAACAACGCCAATATCGAATTTTCAACTTTACTATTGTTCATTGTTTCGACTCGACATAGAAAAGTGATTCCAACGACAAATGGAACAATGGTTAATGAACTGCTTGAAATGCGTAACTACTTCGTTTAAACGTATACACTTATCACTAACTAATCACTCTGTTCACGCAACTTCTTGATCACTTCCTTCTACCCTTTTTTCTTTTCTTAGCCTGGGTTGACGATGTGGACGAGGTCCCACTCATAAAGGTGCCACTCAAGTTAGTTGGTCTTTCGGACAGCATTTCTGACATCTTGTCTGTCTCTTCTGTGGTCGTCGTCATTTGACTGGCCAGGTAATCCTCCAGTGCTTTTCTCACCTACAAACTCATACGGTACACAAGGAAAATAAAATGTTCATGATGTACGTTGGGACGTACTCCTGCCTTTTGCTTCGCTCTCTTCTTTTTTCTGGACTCCGCCTTTTTCTTCTTCGCCTTCTTCTAAAAGAAGAAGAGGTCAATCAGCATCGTCATCACCAGCACTTAATCAAACTCAGCAAAAGTTCACGGAACGGGAAAGAAAGTCGTTCTGGCGAAACATTCAAAAACGCTGCAGAACGTAGTTTTTAAAAGAGAGGGGGAGACACTAGAGTACTGAATACAAGCATACTCGAGATCCCTGAGATCGGGTAGGCGGGGCTGCATTCTTCAACTTAACCTGAAGGTGTCTATGCTTCTGGTGGAATATTTCCATCTTGACACAACTGTTGTCGTGTCTCTGTCCAACACAGAACAAGATGACAGTTGTCCCAGACTGGAATATTCCACGAGTAACCAGTTCCGTGCCATGTTCAAATGCCACGCCTACTCTGGCTCAGGGATAAGTAGTGTATCTGTGCCTTCATTCTCCGCGATGGTCGCTGTACAAATCTCACACGCGATCAGAGAGGCAAAATCGTGAAGTGGACGCTTTCTGGCAGTTTCGCTATAGTTTCGATAGTTGGGAATAGGGTACAGCATTGTGATGTGCGAAAAGGTGGTCAGCACGAGTCCCCTCGCGAAAGCACCCCCCCCTTCCCGTGTAGTAAGTTGTTTTTTCCACGTAACAGTGTAACTAAATCTGTGTTAGTATCTGCTACTCTTCTTCCTCTTCGATCATATGCGCGAATATGAAAGGACCTGCGCGGAAGAGCTGATGGGCCTTGCGTGCGAGAATAAGCGAATGAAGCATTCCCAATCAGGGTACAGCATGTGAAACACAGTGGGGAGGTCATACTTTTCAACTGGGGAAGGGGGTGGTATTTGGGGATGCTACACTATGTACTATGCGTCTACTTACCAACCCCTCACATTTTCCAGTTTTTCACCCACCGCCATGACATCAAGTTCGTTTGTTGTAACGAACCAAGCGAAAATACCTTCTGGAGGGGCACCGCGGTCCAGCTTGAATCAAAAGCAGGAATTCAGGAAAAACCCAAGAAACACGTTTCGTTCTCTTGGCTATGTACCCCCCCCCCTCCTCACCTCTTCGGTCGAGCGAGGGGGGGGGTACATAGCCAAGAGAACGAAACGTGTTTCTTGGGTTTTTCCTGAATTCCTGCCTTTGATTCAAGCTGGACCGCGGTGCCCCTCCAGAAGGTATTTTTGCTTGGTTCGTTACAACAAACGAACTTGATGTCATCCGATCTGGCAACCCTCAACACGAACCTCAGAAACACTCGTAGCCTAGTACTGACAGGCGCTGCTCTGTGAACACCTCCGTTGATGTTTTCTTCAGTAACTCTAAGGATTTCAACGGTTGTCCTTTCTGAAATTCAGAGTTCCTGCTTCAGGATAAGTCATAAGCAGAGGTCAACGAGGTTGATACGAGAATTTCGTCCAGATTTCTCGCTTTTGAGTTTGAGCTGCATTTCTTTCAACAGTCCGAACGGTGCTCTTGGATTGATCTTTCACGTGCGACAACATCTTGCGAACCCGTTCTAGATGTGAACTTCTTGGCCGATCGTTGCTCATTGGAGAAGTCGGCTCTTGTCAGGTAGCACAAATTTCAGCTAAAAGCACTGGGCGATGAGAGGCCTTGGCTCTTCTTCTCACTTTGGTGACTCGTACGGGCAAGCATGCGAGTGTATAACGGTTCGGCAACACTGTCAAACATTCCGTAATAACAGCTTGAGATCCATACCATATGACAGAATGCGCCACTTATGGGAGATGTCATTACTCTGAAAACTTTTCTGGCACTGTTCTGCCGGCTGCAGTATACTCGTACCAGGAATTCCCATTTATTTTTCCTTTATTCTTCTTCCGCTCGACTCACTCTTTGTTACACAATCACTGTTGCGTCGTTCTTGATGTTGAGGAACACTCTTCAGCTCTGTCTTGTAGCTTGTAATCGTATTGAATTTCGTTGTCTCACAGATATCACCGTGCGCCATCATCATTCATATAAGAGGCGGGGAAACACAGGCATTCTTTTGTAGCAGTATTAGAGCGCGATCGCTGTGATCGCGCGATCCGATCGCGCTACTGTGGGTGAAATTACACCGGGAGGGGTCATGTTCGTTCATGTTCAACTCAACTCAACAAACAACAACAACAAAGTTCTGGGAAGGGAGTCGTACTGATATCACCATTTCTCACATCACGATGCTGTATCCTGCCTCCAATAGGCAGTTCCAAAAACGATATAAAAGTAAGTTCGACCTTTTTTGATGTCTTTTAGGCCGTGTTCATATTCGCAATACTGACGATTTGCAGAAACCGTCGAAAGGAAAGGTTGTGTATAGACCTGGAGGACTTGGGCAGAACAAACAAGCAAACACAATGTGACAAAAGAAAAGGAACATATCTGGAAGGACGCCAAAATCGGGAAGGAGAGAAACAACATCACCGCTGTTGAAAGTTCTGCGTGTCTTACTTTTGGAACAAGATGTTCAATACTCCGCTTGAACGTACTCAGATGCAAAATTCAGTATAATAATTAGCATATTGTATATTTAGTACTATTTTACATAGGAAATAATAAAATAACTCAAAGTATTTCGAAACGTTCCTTAAAATTAGGAACGGCGTTATTGTACACAAAGGAAGAAAAGAAGGGAAAAAGAAAAGAACAGGAAAACAATGAACATGAACCATGACACCTTCCAGTGATTTCCACCCACAGCTAGCGCGATCTCGCGCAATCCGGAATACGCGACGATCGTACAGCGACCGCCGATCGGAAGTCTGAACGCGCGTCTGAGTGAAAGAGATCACTTTTCCTTCTTAAGCTGACAGGCATAGTCGAAATAAAGAAACAACGCAATGCGCGGGATGTCCTATAAGCAAGCGCAGAGAAACACGACACATGCGGTAATGTTTCCGATCCCCTGTCCGCGCCAAGACTTACCAAGAGAGTGTCGCCACTTCCAAATGTAAAAGTCACACCCGCATACTCTTCATAGGGATCAATCAAATACAGTTGCACGTAAATTCATTTTTCAGTTCATCGGGTTCGGCCTGTCATGGATCGGAGGAAATCCTTCCAATAACTATTTTTCTCTAGCTACACCCGTCAACGGGGCACTCTGACTGGATGAGGGCGGGCCAAGGATCGCAACGCGTTGCGGCGTGTCCATCGAGGCGGCCGATGAGCTTTGTGTTTCCAGCATATACTTAGCCATTTTCTCCAATAGATTGCAATCTGTGTATGCTGCCTTTTCCCAAGATATTTGTTCTTTGTTCCCTTGCACGATGAATTTATTAAATGAGATGTCTCTCCTGTTTTTGGTGCTATTGATCAACAGCTGTAGGCAAATAATGTAACAAACCCTACAGTTGTCGCTCACGACGGTGGGCGCGTTCCCTACGACCACGCTGGCGAGCGTTCCGGTGATTGCGTGTCGATGGGAAGCCGAAAACTTTCAGGAGATTATCATCAGTTGTCCTCTCCGTCTCTTACTGTGCACTCTGCGCTCGTAAACGGTCGGATCGTTGGTGCTGAGATCCTTGCGGGCCGCCGCCCCATCTTACCCACTCTCCCCTGGACTCTTAAACCGGTCCCGCGGATAAATGCTGACCTTCAATCAGCTGAGTCTCTGTGTTATATTTTCTGCTATATTCAGCTTGTTTTAAAGCTGAAATTTTTCGACTTTTGACCTCAATATTCAAAGGTGAGTATCCTTACTGAAATTATTCCACATTTTGCATGAATTTAGCATGAAATTCCCCTAAGAAACTTGTTTTTCTTTCTGATTTTCGCAATTTCTCCAAACTTTTCCTTAATATCCCCATTTATTTATGATATTGACCGAGTTTTCAAAGCAGTGTCTCAGATGTGATCTCGTTATTATCGAGAACCATCTCTGACACTTTTTTGAAGCTCGAAGTTGCCTTAATGGTTCGCTTTCCCATGCTAAAATTCCCAATTTCAATTTTTTTTTCTTTCCCAATTTAATGCTAAATTCATGCAAAATGTGATATAATTTCAGTAAGAATACTCACCTTCGAACATTGAAGTCAAAAGTCGAAAATTTTCAGCTTTAACAAGCTGAATCTAGCAAAAGTACTGGCGAAAGCGAGGAAAGTCTGAATCGGAGAGCAGATTATCGGATCGGTAAGCAGCCCAGAGAGAAGAGTGGTCGTAGACGGTGCGGCGGCGTGTGTTAGAGCGCAGAGTGCAAGATTAAGAGACGCAGAGGCAAGGTTTTTGCGGCCATCCACCGACAGGCAACTATCGGGCCGCTTGCCAGCGTGGCCTTAGGACCGCCCCACCGTCCGCTGAGAACTGCACTGTACAAAAATCGCAAAAACACTCTATGACAGAACCGAAAGGATTCCACGTCCTCGCGCACTCCGTAAAGGCAATAAAGCAACTAATAAAAAAAATTAAGAAAATTGCCAGTATATATGAATTAGGAAGTAGGGCCAAAATAGCGCTGAAGACGGTGATCGCCGCGGCGTGGCGCCCGTGGCGCGCATCAGCATCGCGACCCTTGGGCGCCCCTAACTAGTGGCAACGGATGACGAGCGGCGTAGGAACGGAATCAGGCTCGAGCAACAACAAGTGGACAGAAGAACTTCAATGCCAAACGAACATTTCGGAAGCGGGCGAGCGGTGGCTCATGTCTAAGTGACTCCATGAATGGTCTGCGAACGGAGAAAGGAACATATGTGGAACTACTCATTCACCTTCCAATATATCAAACACTGCATGTTTCAACTTCCAATTTTCATGTGAAATCTCCTCCCTCGCGCCCATGAAATGACCGCCGCCCACTGTCCGAAAATGTTCGTTTTCTCGAGTGGACTTCCCGTCTCCCGGATGATTTTATCTCAGACCATTGCAACTACATGTTTTGCTTTTTTCTTGTGTCTTCCATTAGTAGCGTTCAGACTTCGCGACGGTAGTGCCTCGGTCGCGTGTTCTACAGTCGAAAGCATGCGTATCGATCGTCGAATCGCGCGACCGAAGCGCTGTCATCGCGAAGTCTGAACGCTGCCTTATAGCTACTATCTTCAGGCGTCCTCCTTCCCAAAGTTGGCGAAGAGGTTTGAAGAAGGTGAGAATTCCTTTATGACTGGAGCCGATGTCCAGAGCAGATGCCACAAGTGGAACATTTCTCAGAGGTCCGAAATAGTGTGTGTGCTAAAGGCAGCAGTTCGAGCTCTAGTGATATTTTTTGGGCTGCCTCATTAATAATAAATTACGTTCTAGCAGTCATTATCCCTGAAGGGGGGGGGGTGTAGGGGTGTAGAGTGGGTTGCATCCCGGCCTGCCTTTTCCACTAACAGTTGCGGGCCAGGCAAGCATCAGTGGTGGAAAAAGCTACTCTGTGCTGCGCTACAGCCCACACCTAATCGCACACAGCCTCGCTCGCACTGACAATGACTGCAGCTTGGACTGATATACGGTAGCGTGGTCGCAGTGGAATACTAGGTGCACATCAACTGCTCCGTCCTCTACGGTGGACGGTATAACAAAAAAGAGCATGACCTCAGAGCATTTTGGATGCAGCAATTTAACATATTCGAGTAAACAATATATATTGGGTCGGCCCATAAGTGATGGCGTTTTCTTCTCACTCAAAATATCGGCCAAAGATGAAAACTTTTGTCCATTGACTTCTATACTGTTTTGCAGAGAACTCCTTGCCCCATACGACAGTTCTCCTGGTTTTCTTGGAGTTTCTCCACTTATATTTGAGTGCTCAAACTGGAGTGTCAGGTCGACGAAATTGAGCATTTTCGACAGCCTCTCTTTTTTACCTCTAATTAAAAAGCTAAAACCGCACAGGCACAGTTGTTAAGTATGTAGCCAAGAGGCTGTGTCTTAGGAATGCTACAATACTTAGGTTCGAAGTTTCCAATTTCGACCTACAGACAAGCATCGAACCTAATGCCCTATGTGTCCAACTGAGAGCTTACGGAATTACCTTATTCACAGAGATCATGCCAAAGATTGAGGAATCGTTAGAGGTCATAGAATGTTTCTTCATCATATTCAAGCATCACCTTTACTTAAACGGATTAGGTCAAAAGTCAGTGGATATGTGCTGCAGGCAGTCGCTCCCCTGGAGGGCTTCCAGATGCACATTTACAAGGTCCAAAGTCCCACTTCTTGATAGCTTGAACCGATTTCAAGCTGTCATATGAAGCATCTTCCCCTAGTCATATATATCCCAAGTTTTGAGCTTCTTTTGTAACTCGAGAGCCGAGTTAGAGTACAAAAAGTTTGTCAAAATTTCTTTTTTTATCGTCCCGACACTCCAATTCACTGAAGTAACAATCGAGAAAATTAAGAGATGTAGGAAAGCTCTCACATTATCTCATAGAGAGAAAATTACCTATAGTGTAGGAGACATTGGGAACGCTTGTCATTTTCCATCTGATAATTTATTTGAGAGAAAAACGCCACTTGCTCATCGGCCAACCCAACACATGTGCGTAGAGCTCCCTGATTCCTCCTTACAAGCAATATAAAGGCTGAAATCTCAGCAGAATAGCTCGCAAACTATCTGATGAGCTTAGTAACTGTGAATTTATTCTCACAATTTTCTTCTTCATTTCTCTTTTCCTTTTCTTGCGCATTTCTTCTTTCATCGCTTCTTGAAGGTGTTGAATTCTTTCCTTGCTTCTTCTTCGTTCCATTAGCAGGCCAATAAGTAAGCCGAC